CATCTGAACATAATATATTAAACACTGGTTAAAATACAAAGATGTTCTACATGATTGGAATACAAATGTAGAATACGAGGGTAGGATTCGAGGGTGTGATACAAAGGAGGAACCATACCGAGAACCTCAAGACCAAATGACAAATCCTAAAAACCGAAAGACCAAACTATAGGTAAAAAGCATGCTAACACCAAATTTAAAATCCAAACAAGACATCTCCAACTCTGACAAATCTAAGTGTTATCCTTCCAAAGAACAACCAAACCATAGAACACATGCTTCAAATACGCGGTAGGGATAAAGGAGACAATGGAGCTACAAACGCCTCGAGAAGAAGTCACCGAGACTCAAGTGCAAAGCTAAACCAAGTGATAGTGACTCGAACCAACAAAACCCAGGGAGAGAAAATCATCAGCAAGAAAGTTAGAACCCAATCATGTCCTCAGTTTCTTCAAATTGATACACAACCCAAAACTCGTAAGCATGGCGTTGGTATGCATAAATGCCAACTGAAGAATTATTCGATAAGCGGACAGAGAAGATACTAAGCAGCCAGCATGTCGAGAAAACAACCTCGATTACATCTTCATCACCAAAAAAGAGTCACCCATAACCCAGCAACACCAAGGCATCACCTTTACCAAGCGCATGATACAAGGAAAGCAAAAGCACATAAATCATCTGGAGAGGAGATATAGCTTGGACCAAACCCATAGATAACAAACACTCCTAGACATACACAATTCGATCTCTGAAACAACCAAAAGAGGTTCTGCATCGAGGAAGAAAGAACTCACATACCAACAACAACAAATATGAAATTCTCCACCAGCACAATCAACAGGGACAAAGAGGAGTAAGGCTAGAGACCACCTAGTACCAACCGAAATCGATACCAAAGATCTAAGACCCAACTAACCCGACCTTGCTAACCACAGACAGAGAAGAAGATACCTCTGTGCCACCAGGCGAGAAGACGAACCAACCACTAGCCCCACCGTCCATCGAGTCGACGAACCGAGAGGAGGACCGGCCGCACCTCAACACTCACCAAGCCAGATCTCGAGATCTCGCAATCAAGACACGGAAAAACCATCGTCAGAACTACAGAAGCCTATCATACATGAATCTAAGAAGCAAAATCCGACCGACGGCGGAGCTATCGGAGCCTCCGACCGTCGGCCGAGAGAACATCAATCAATCGTTTAGATTTTCGCCTTCGAAGAGAGAAATTGGGGGCGCGTGAGATTCACTTACGTCTCTAACAGGTTTTGTCTCGCAGTGGACTACATTTGTTATGAATATGTACAATCACATATTATAAAGAAGAGCATGTGACAGTGCTACATGAATTAAGTAAGACAAATGATCTTACATAAGAAAGTTGTAACTAAAACTCAACAAC